CAGCCTTGACATTATCTGGAGTTGATATCTTGGGCAGTATGCACCGGTGCCTCAGGCGTGTATGCGGCAGAAGTATTGTCAGCAAGGTTAACTGTAGACACCTCGGCTCAAGCAGGCTCAAAGACAGCAGGCGCCCACGGGCATGCCCCCAAAATGTGCAGTGGCCGAATTGCCACCTCCGTGCACCATTCTCTTGAACCGGATGGTCGAGATGAGCGTCGACATTAGTCTGACAGGGTTGCAAGAGTACATCGAAAAGCGTGTCATGGACAGGTTCAAATCCGCGTTTGAAGCTCACGGCTTTTCCCGATGAAGGATGGAAGGCGGGGAAGGGAATATATTCAATCAGGATTGCGCATAGATGATAATGAAAAGCAAGCACATAATATTTAGATTAAGTGCGTGGGGTTCCTCGGTAGCGTAATTCTTCCACCTGTCCCAGCCCCAGCGCTGCGTGCGTATCCCGGCTTTGCGTCTCATGACGAATCGATGCGCTGTCTACAGCGTCTGAAGCCAGGCGCCGGCACTAAACATGCCCCTAGGGCATTCCCGCTGAAACTCAGTGTGATTACGCGAGGTTTTGGGCTAAAGCCCGCGCCAGACGAGGAATTCGAGGCGGGCCCAAATTCCCTAACAGTCAAGCACGTGGGCGACAATGTGGCAGGAGTCGAGGATGCATTGGGCAAGTGCGTCGCACTTGTAGAGGGTGCGTTCGGCGCGTGTATATCGAACAGACATTGCTATGCTAACTGCGCCGTGCGCTTCGCTGAGACCGAGGGCTCCCGCGTCCGCTTGGATCCGGGTGGGCGCATCGAGCAACTTCGCCCGATGCAGCGCCCAGAACTTCCTGTCGCTGTTGCGGAAAAGAAGGCGGCGAAAGCACGATCATATATGTTCATCAGTGTGCGCGGCGCGTCAGCACTGGTCACGCAGGTGCGTTTGAATGCGCGCGTAGTTTCCGTGCAACATGCACGGGGGCCCACTGACCGTCGAGCGCGAAGTTCCATCGCATCAGCGCGCGAACTTCAACGAGGTTCATATGAGAGAGCGGAACAGTTTATGACTCCGACCGGGGAGGTGGACCTTCATCGCGACTCTTGCTGCCGCCGCTTCCACGGCGACGAAGACGACGAAGTAAAAAGGGCATGGCGTCCCAGGGGGCAACCTCGTACTGCGCGGACGTGCGCCTAATGGCAAGTCAGTGGTGCATCTGATCGGAGCATGCTGCAAGTCGCATCGCTTGCAGGTGCGTTCCAGTCACTCAGCTGAGACGGGCGGCAGCTCATAATCTGGAAGGCTGCTACCCCGCAATTGTGACGCTGGGCGAGCTCGCGGCTGGGCCACTAACGCCAACGCAGCAGGAGAACATTCTCGAGTTTGGTGGTCTCAGCGTCGAGGCCATCCTTACCATGGGCGCTGATTCGGCCTTCAAATCCTTGTCAAGTAAGGACTTGCAGAAGACAAATGCTGGACCGAGGCACCGTTCACATAGTGCAGTGATGTGGTGCGCGTGCTGCGACGGCCGGCGGTCATGCCTAAAGATGTATTGGTCGTGAGCTACTACTGCAATCTCATGGAAGGTAGCCAGTTATTTAAGTATGAGGTAGAGAAGTACGTGCCCTATCGAGGCAACAAAGAGATAGCAACAACGTGGGGGCGCCCTATTCAGGCCCAGCGGACATGGTATATGGTTAACTACTTGCAGCCAATCCAAGCTCCAGCGCGTGCTGCGTGTTCCTACTGGCCCAGAAACGGGCTATCCTTTATTTGGGTGCCGGACGATTTCGTCGAGTATCCTTGTTTGTTCCGCGAAGCTTCGCACGCTTTGACGTTTTGGCATTTGGCCAGATGTCCCCCCCGCCCCAAGTATCTTCGGATAGTGACGTGGCTGTGCCCGTGACTCTCCACAGTTACATGTGGCCAGTCTTGCCGTCTTGCCCATTACTGTCCATAATGATTTGCGGCTGGTCGTGTGGTTGAACCCACGACCGGCCCTAATGCTATGCGCTGTTCGTTTTGCTTTGATTGTGCATCATGAGGGATGTAGAAACACGATCTCCCGATCCATCTTTTCATTTGGTATACTATGGTTTGGGGCTGGATCTAGCGTTCGATCCCGCCCGTCCCGATTTTGAACGGAGTTTTATCGAGGGACTATATAGCGAACGCTATATCCTACCGCAGCTGCTTGGCTCAAGGTAGCGCTAGTCCATTTGCCTGTTTCACGCTGGTGGGACACTATCGTTTTTGAGCGTCGGATAAAGGCCACATCCACCGACGATCTCTATCCCGTGCCTTGTCTCTTACCTTTCATCTAGCATGCCATCAAGGGATCAGCTATGGGATGCCTCGATACGTCTCCGACGTTCTCCTAACACGTTATCCTAAGAGTACGGGTTTCAGCTTACTACCTCATGGTCGACCCAGTGACCCTTGCTTTTCACTTTGGGCGCACATTGGGTCATCATGTGGAAGAAAGCAGGCAACAAACAGTGAAATGGACCGGGGCAGGACTCCGAACGATGGCTAGGCGTGCGGCGAGCTTGGGCGGTGCTCGAACTGCGCGTCGTTTTGACGATCTCGTGGGCCGTCTTCGCGCTGGTTTCACTCTGCAGCAGAGGCGGGACGACGACAGAGCGAGGGCGAACGCACACAAACAACTAATCAGGAGCCTAGGCTCCCCCCAGGGGCGCGAAAATGATCGCGCTCAGCTCCTCGCGGCTTGGGCTGGAGCGGCGCCTTCTTCCAGGGCGCCAGCGCGAGGGCGCGAATGTGGCCGCGTGTGGCGCGTCGCGCGTTGAACAGTAAGTTGCCGAAGCTTCCACCCGTTTTGGGTCTGGTGATGCCCAAACGATCGGATAGCGTCCAATAGCGACCCACAGTGCCCATTAACATTATTTGAGGCATATGCATTCTGTCCGCTTTGCTCCGTGACGTTCTTTCGAATGATGCGCGAAGTCAGGTGACCCAGAGAAGCGGATGACTCGACCCCAGTCACGGTGCGGCTTGCGCGAGGCGTTCTGGGCGGTACGTAGACGCCTGGCGTTTCGCGCGCATGGTGTGCAGTCTGCGTGAAACGCCTCGCAGAAACTTATTGCGGTACTGAACCATGGGAGCCTCGCGTGTCGTCACAATTCCGTCTTCAGAGTGAACCAGCGTGCGCCAGCGTCTGGTAATCGACGAGAAAGCGCCAGCTTAGTTTCGATTGGCGTTGATTTAGCGACGATTACAGTTGTTTCGTGTCGACTAGCGTCGATTAAGGTCGATTCGCAAGAACCAGCAATATGGCGAGAGGCTCCCATGAGTTGCCGCCGACATTGAAAAGGAGGTCGGGAGGCGACCCTCGACGGAAGAAACACGCGGACCATGGCCAAGACGTCGGGGGATCTTGTCGACGCCGACCTTGGTCATGGTCCATGCTGGCCCGTGCCAATTCGCCAGGCTGATCGTTGCGAGGACCAAGATAGGCGTTGACCAAGGCCGATACTGACGTTTCCGCGTTCAGTCCTTGTCATTGCCCTCGCTTTCGTTCCCTCTAGGTCCCTCTCGAACTCACATGCGCTCTGCCATCAGCCTGTCACCCACTGGGTGTCCGCGGGGTCTCTCGCGGAAACCTGCCTCGGCTCTTCGGGTTGCCCGCGGCCCCTCCCTGGCGTCCTGATCTGCACGCTGGAACGCATCACGTCGGCGAGGCGCCTGCGGACGTGTGCAGCAAACGCTCCTCGAACAAGTCTTGGCTGCGGTACGCTTGGAGGGCGAAGTTTTGGGAACTCGTCTTTGGCCCAGGGGCTTCGTCTCCCGAAACTCTCGCGCTGGATCCCAGGGTTTCACACGTGGCGGCGGTCCGTGGGTTTCCCTATGCCCGAGTGCCTCTCTAACGGTGAAAGTCCTGCCCGACGTCACAACATGTGTTTGTGTATGGGAATTGTGTCGCCCAATGGTATCCCCCAATCAAGCTGCATCCAGGCCAGCTGCCAACCACTGCGCCTGGCGTCTTGCACGGAGAGATCGGGGCTTTCGCGGCGGTTTGGGTTTGGCTTGCTGGCTTTTCTCCAGCTTCTTAGTTCCCCAATCAGAGCTTGCGTCTGTGGGGGGGTCCTAGCGGATTCATATGGCTAGGTGAGGTTTGGCGCCGATTTCGGCGGACTGCCTGGTGCCAGGGTGCTCGAGTGTCCGGGTGCCAGGAAGCCCCATTGCCTGATAGCCCTATAGTCTTATAGCCCTATAGCCCAATAGCCCAATAGCCCGTTAGCCCTATAGGCCTATCGGCCTATAGCCCTATAGCCGCATAGCCCTATAGCCCCATAGCCCTATAGCCCCATAGCCTTATAGCCCTACAGCCCTATAGCCCTACAACCCTATATCCCTATAGCCCTAGAAATATTATGTTTGTTTTTTTCGCTGGTATCATTCGCTGCTTTTGGGGTGGCGGTTTTGACTCGCCCTGCCAACAGTGCCGCTAAAGTCAAATTATCCGCTTCTTTCCCTCCTTTGCATCCAATGGGTCTTCTTTTCTCCAGTCGGCGTCGCTCACAAGACAGGCTGTGGTGTATAGTGACGTGCAGCTTTCCCCCCCACGATGTGTTAGTGATGCTTCTGCGCGCAGTCGCCATGCCTTGCGGACGGAGGCTGTTCTTCGGACTCTTCCGAGCAGAGGTTCAGATCGTGGTTGTGTGTCAGAGTTCTCATTGTAGCCACGAGCTATTCGTAGCTCTTCGCCGACAAGCACGGTAATACTAGCCAGCCAAGAAATCGGGGTGACCATTGTGTGCTAGGTACGGCAGAGACACAGACGACAGCATCTTGTAAGTGTTACGTTGCGGCACGCCTTTCAACATATGTTATCCGTTTCTTCTTCCCTCGCTCTCTCTCTCTCTCTCTCTTTCCCTTTGTTTCTTTCTTTCTTTCTCTTTCTCTTTCTCTCTCTGCAGTATTCAGAGGACCACACTCTTTCTTAATGAGGCAAAGTAGCGAACGAATTTGAGCTCCCGGGTCACCAGGCGTGTGCTGCACGCTCTGCCATCTCCACGAAGCGGTGGTCGCCAAGCCGCTGCCGAGCAGTGGATCAGGATGGTCTGGGCGGCTGAACCTGTCTGCTCTTGCGCGTTGCATCGCTATTGGCGTTAGACCAGATTCCGTGACGCATGCTCCCAGTGCCCTCCCAAGCGTTGCCTTTACGGTTTCTTTGCTTCCGTTTGATGCCTCTTGGTTCTTGCAGTGTCTCGTTCATGCAAGCATTTTGCTGTGGCTGTCATTTTGGAATCCCTGTTCTGATAGACTAGACGTTTCAATCTCTGCGAGAAATGCTGCAGTCTTTGCCAAGATGTGATTTTCCTCTTCACGCTTCGCGTATCCCCAGCGGCCTGCCTGGTCGGTTCGCGGCCCTTAGCGTGCCGTCGCTCACTGTTTTTCTCTTCGCTACCGGCGCGGCCCGCCGTAGCAGGCAGGCTCGGCGTTCGACTCGTTTCACGCGCCCGCGGACCAAAAAGATATCCCCACCAGCCCATTCAGAAACCCTGCCTTTCAGAGCTGACGGGAAAAGGGACGAAGAGACACATCTAGGGAAACAAAGCGAGCATTGGGGTGGCCTTGGAAAGCCTCTTCTGGCCATCCCTGGGTGCCGCGTGGGGGCGAGGGGAAGAGGAGGACGAGGAGGACGAGGAGGACGAGGACGCATGAGGACGAGGACGCATGAGGACGAGGACGAGGAGGGCGAGGACTAGGATGAGGACGACGCGGACGAGGACTCATGGAACCATCTAGAGGTATTCTTGCGTCTGCTGCTGCTGCTGGTGCTCTCTGGGAGTTTTTGGGGCCCTCGTGGAACCCTCTTGGTAACTATAGAAGGTTTCTTGTGATCATCTTGGAGGCCATCGATTACAGGATGGGGGGGTCCCCAACTCAGCTACCCCCTCAGGAGCCGGCAAACCGCTTCTTGGGGCTCTCTTGGAGCGCTCCTGGAGCGGTCTTGGGGTCGTTTGGGGCATCATGGGAGTCATCTTGAGCCAGTTTGGAGGTCATCTTGGGCTCTCTGAGTCCGGTCGGGGGCCTCTTGGGGGCCTCTCGGGTGCCTCTTGGGGCCCCCTCGGGACCCTCTTGGAGCCCTCTTTGGGCTCTCTTGGGGCTCTCTTGGGAGCCCTGGAGCGCCTCTTGGGACCATCTTCGAGGTTATCGATCAAAGGAGGGAGGGTCCCTATCGAGGCCCCCCCCTCGCGGGCAATAAGCCCTCCCAGGGGCCGAAAAATGGACCCTCCAACCGATCGCGGCGCCTCCCGTCCAGGTCCGGGAGAGGGGTCAAGACTTCCTCCCTGCCCGCAAGCCGTTTCGCTCTCTCCCACCCGCCCTCCCAACACATACGTAGCACCCGAGCCTGGCCCGAGCCTCAGCATATTCAGCAGTCGTCTTTGGATTGGCAGCTACTGGGGGCACATCCGCCGCCGCCGCCGCCGCCGCGCCGCCGCCGCCGCCGCCGCCGCCGCTGCCCGCCGCCGCCGCCGCGCCGCCTGCCGCCGCCGCCGCCGCCGCCGCCGCCGCCCCCGCTGCCGAATCGCCGCCGCCGCAGCCGCTGCCGCCGCAGCCGCTGCCGCCACTGCTGCCGCCGCCGCCACCGCCGCAGCCGCCGCCTCCACCGCCCCCGCCGCCGCGGCCGCCACCGCCGCCGCCACCGCCGCAGCCGCCGCAGCCGCTGCCGCCGCCGCAGCCGCCGCAGCCGCCGCCGCCGCCGCCGCCAAGTGTACTCTGTATTGTTTTTGACAGGGATGGTGGGGGCAGGCCGCATCGGTTTTGCTGCGCATGCTCTGGATTTGGAGGCAGAGTGTGTTTTGTATTGTTCCTGGTTGGCTGCCAGTCGCCCGGGGGAGGGGGTGTATACTAATAGGAAACAGTGATAACCCCTCCCCGAAGGTGAAGAGGGGTTTTTGGAAGAGGGAAGAATGACATCGTTAGACCACCTGCGCCCAGAGAGCTGGTGGGATTAGTAGGAGCCTGCTCAAGTCACCGATCGGGCTGGGCGAGTCAGCTCGTGGTTTTCGTATCATGCCCCCAATATTGCCCATATGCTCTCCTGCTTCCTTGCTCTCACTCTATATTTCTCAGCCCCTCTTTCTCTCTCTGTCTCTGTCTCTGTGTCTTTGTCTCTGTCTCTGTCTGTCTGTCTGTCTCTGTCTGTCTCTCTCTCTCTCTCTCTCTCCCTCTCGTTCTTTTCCACTCCCTCCTCTCCTTCTCCCCTCTCTCCTCGCCCGCTCTCTCAGGCACCCTCTCCTTCTTCTTCCTCCGCCTGTGCGATCCGATTCCGAGTCGATGCCAATGTGGCCCCACCCGACGCACCTTCCGATTCGATCCGATCTGCCGACTCAATGCGGACTGATCCTGCAGTCTGGCCCCGCGTGGAGGTGCCGTGGTGCTGGGCAGGCCCCCCAGCCATGGCAGCGCCGCGCCGGACGACGCCGCGAAGCTGGACGGGCAGCCGCCGCCGCCGGCCGCCGCGGTGACCCCAGCTTCTGTCCGCCAACAGGTCGTAGTGTGTTTTCCCTCTCGTATTCGGCGCTTGTTTTCCATTTTGACGGTAACCCCGTCTCGGTTCGGGGGGTCGCGGGTCCGTCTGGATCCTTCCCTTCTCTGCCCCTCCTCTCCCTCTCCTCCTCCTGTTGCTGCTGCGCTTGCTTGCAGGACGGAGGGCGCGTGGAATTTGTGCCTGAACGACAGCCTATCGTTGTTGGTGTCGTGAAAAACGACTGCAAACTGTCTTAGTTTTTGCTTTCCCTCTTCTGGACGACCTCATGAGGCACGGCGGACGCAGGCTCGAGCAACCGACAGGAGTCGTGCCGCCTTGATAGGCAAACCATCGCCCAAATCCAGCAACACGTTATAAAAAAGGGAACTTGCCATCCTGACGCGAGGTGTGGCGCCTGCCTGCCGTTCGCGTTGAACTGTTGGATTGGGCGGGGGCCCTCCTCAGTTGCGAGTCGCTCGAGGCAGTGTGCTCATTGCTCCCTGTTCCTGCTGCTGTGGGTGACTGTTCCACCTTGGACGGTTACCACGGGCCTGTGGTCGCTTGTCGTCTGCATGTGGTGCCGCATGGGACACCTGGAGCCCCTTGAGCGCCCCTGGTTCTCAAAAAAAAAGAGGGAACTTGCCATCTTGGTTCATGCATCCGATGTCATAGGTTACCAGCTGCAATCGGTGAGTCGCCGCGGACACGCGAAACGGTGCCCGCTAGCGCACCTCACTTGTGCAAACACACTGTGTCAACGTGGACTTCTCGGGATCGCTAGTAGCGAACCTCGAGGCCGTGATCTTTGATAATTCTTTCGAGGTTGAAGGGCCCGCCGACGGCCATGCTTTGACACGCGAGCGGTCAGCTATCGCCGCCGCGGCTGGGAAAGCTCGAGCAACCGGTGATGAAAGTATCATTCCTATGGCATATGACGTCGATATACCGACGCCCGCATTTGCCTCGCATCGTGGGGCGACGCGCTGACGCAACGGCGCTCTGAGGGCGTACCGTGGCGCGCTCAGAGCGTCCGTGGCGTGCTCATATACAACAACTGCCAGTACCTGCAGGGCAACATGCCCCATTTGCTCCTATGAGCAGAGCTACTACGCTATTTGGTACTCCACAGAGTTCTGGGAGCAACACCAGCCTGCAGGCGAGGCTCCAAAGCACCCGGATGGATCCGCAGCTCTATCAGGCTTTACAGGCGACATCGCCATTTGCATCGCCACGTCCACATGCGGGGCAACCTGTTATTCTTGACCAATACGCCATGCAGAGAAGTTCAGCTGGTCAGCAAGAACGGATGTATCGGCAGATGCGTGAGGCCGTTCTGAGCATGCGGAGGGATGGTATTGACCTCCCTAATGCCAACTGGACGCCGCCGTGGGAGTATGTTCCGAATCCAAATCCTTCACCGGACAAGCCCAATCGGTTCGGCTACGTGCCAGCATTCTTCAGTCATTCGACATACGATCCAACGTCTGCTGGTCGTCCTGCAGCAGCGCCAATGGTTCATCTTTTCTATCCTGACCATCATGCCCAGGAGTGGTATTCGTCGGGTGGGAACACAGCCCGAGAATCCATTTGTTCGGGCGACGGCCAACGACTTCTACCAGTCGCAGGTGCCACGTGGCTCAGGGCATGCATCAGGTGTGCCAGGACAGATGCCTCACTCGGGTTATCTGGCCCCCCCCATGGATCAAGATGTGCCGCAACAGGCCCCAGGCCTAGTGCTGCCGCCGACCATGGGGGAGTTGCGCCCTGAGATCCTAGCCATACACGAGGCGCAGCAGGCCAATTTGGCTAAGCAGGCCACGCGCCAGCGCTGAAATCATGATCTAGCCGGGCGGGGCAACCTGCTAATCGCAATATAGCAGGGACACCTGCGAGCAGTCCAGCCATGGTTGCATCAACGCAGCTACCGACGGTATCACGTATTCGATTCGAGGCTGGTGAATCCACCCTGGAGCGTCGGACGCGTATCAATCCATCGGCAACACCGCCCATCATCAGTGACGGCGACTTCGGTAAGTGTGCCATATGCCTGGACCTGTTCATGAATCACGACAAGGTCTGGCGCCTCCAGTGCGGCCACATTTTCCACGCACAATGCTGGGATCGAGTGGTACACGCTCATGTGGATAGATTGTTGGCTGGGAACATGGATGGTTCTGCAAGTGAGGCCCCCTGCGTTATATGCAGGGGTGTTGGCCTCATTACTACCGAGTTCCACTACGCCCTTGCTGGAGATCAAGAGTCACTCGCTCGCCATGAAGATATACTCCGAGGGGCGAACGAGCTCAGGGATCTCCGTGAAGAGCTCAGCCGCGTTACGGCGATGACGACGGATGACGGGCACCGCGGCCGTCTCGATGACGACGCCAGCGGGGCCACCTGCGTCGCCGGCCAACGCGGGGCTAGTAACGGAGGCAACCGCACTTGCAGGGGCACCTGCTATCGACGCGCCTGTGCCATTGGTGGCAGACACCGACAACAACGCAGGGGCACCTGCTAGATCGGCTCCACCTTCGGTGCTAGTGAACGATGCGTGGTTGAGGCGCATGGAAAGGACTACGGACAGGAGCGCTCAGTGGCTTCAATATTCACTTTCATACGCGCCAGATGGGCGAGATCTCCGCCCGCGCAGCCAGCGCAGGACGGAGAGCCCTGTAAACAAGCGCAGTGGCAATAGTGAGGTATCCGAGCGCGCGGTGCTGCATGCGTTACTTATGATACATACTGATGGTCAGATGGGCATTCGCGCGGATGACGGCGCGTTCCTCAGCTTCCCACTACCTCCACATCGCACCCGTATGTGTATGACGAGTATCCGACAACCTGGATATTTGAAAAGCATCCTATTACAGACGAAGAGGCTCGTGGGTATATGGATGAGTTCACACTTTTGTCAAGAAATCGTTGGGTGTCTGGTGCGACAGTATCTGAAGTTCCTGGCATATTTTGTGCACGTCATGAGCTAGCCTTGGCAGCTAACAGTGGAACTATGATCAATGGTATGTTGATTATTTGTTTGACACTGGCAATCGCATCAATGTTCTTGGATTAAAGACGGCGCAGACCTTTGAGCAGGTATCGCGCCCCCGCGGACACGCTATTAAAAGGCTGAACCTCACGAAGAGGCTTTACGTGTCAGGAGTGGCATTTGCGATAATTCCTGCATTGCAAGATTGCGCGCCAGGGAAGGGGGGGTCCCGCGGAGCATCCTGCCGCGCCGAGACTTGACGCGCACTCAGCAAACGTAGCTGAGGGCTCTGGGGAGAACCTCCCTGCCATCTTGTGTCTTAGGGGCATGTCCAACATGGGGGCCGTCCTGATCCTTGAGCAGGGGCGCGAGAAGATGATCATCCCTGGCGCGGAGATGCACGAGGTTCTGCTCGGACAAAGGTGCTGGGGTACTCGACCCGATGAAGACGCGGGGGCATCTGATACTCAAGGCTGGCGAGTACGGGATGGCTACTGAGGATCAACGGCCGATGTCGTTTACTATCACGGCCAACCCTCAGTGCGAAGAAGCTCCATTGCTCGTCAAGGAATCATCCGATCCAGAGCCAATCGCAGGGACACCTGCCGTGAATGATGCCCACGCATACATGATTTCACAGGTTACGAAGGGCATCAGTTTCTCTATTAATGGCGAGGCGTTCGTTTTCACGATCCAGACATTGGTGAATAACACCTTGAAGTCATGGCATCATAGAAATGGGACTACCCCTACCTCGGCCGACAAGGACTTCGCCCTCCGCAATTTGCAGGCGAAGATATATCAGGCCATCTACGAGGAGGGTACGAAGTGGACGCCTCCCGATGCACAGGCAGGGACACCTGCGGAAGTGGATGATGCCGCTGAGAAGTTTGATATTTTTACTTCGAGCAGCGGCTCTGCAGCGTGGCACGGCACTGGTATTTGGACGCCCCCATCGCCAATCGAGTGACGGGGGCAGGCGCGTGCCACGGCCACTCGCGCTTGCTCTGACAGGCCGAACATTCAGGTGCTGTCAGCAAACGCGGGGAAACCTGCATCCTTTTCCCAGGCACCGGCTGTGCGTGCCAGGAGCCGTGGCAAGCCCGGCTGTGCGGCTGCCACGAACAGCAGTGGACCTGGCTGTGTGGCCGCTGCAGAAAAGGAAGGATTGTCGCATCATTCTCATTCTAGTGCGTTTGTCATTGAGGATATACGGACAGCTTGCGCTGAACTCCTAGCCCGTGGATACATGTGTGATCGTATTGCACATACAGAGATAATGACCTGTTGGTACACAGTACTTGGGTGCATTACTCTCGGGTGATTACCAACTGTTGTGGATAGCAACATCTGCCGACTGGTATGTGAGGCTGCCTGGCAAGAGGGCAGGGCCTAGCAGCGCCTCCTGTCCAAGGCTCGGGCTCTACGTTTGACTATTGTACTTCTGGGGCCACCATGATATTTCTGAAAAGAGGTCCCATGCGATATGCAATTGAAGATCTTGATGTACTAGTCATGCGCGTGCGTTTCTGCCACTTCGGCCTCGAGTGCGACCGCGTCAACACGTTGCCCGGCGGATCATTTCTGCAAGTGGCGACTACTTGCGCGCGCATCCCCACCAATGTATGGCGAAGCGCATGCAATATAGCAGGGGCGCCTGCAGAACCTACTGGGCATATTCTAGACTGGCATGGACAAGGTGCTCAGAAGGCCGAATGGCGCAACAAGGCACTGGCGATCATGTCCGCAAGGTTAATTGATCAAATGGACTTACTTAAAACACAAAGAAAAACACAAGTGCTGTACATCTGAGTATCCACACTCGTGTTGGTAGTGGAGCTCGAGCTCACGTTCAGTTTCCTCAGAATGGCCCCGAGTGGGACCATGTTGTGAGACGGGTGGCGATGAACCTGGGCGACAACGCGATCATCCAGGACATCGGGATCCAGGGCCAGCCGACTGGGTACAACTACAACGCACCATGACCCAATGGTGTTACCAACGTCCG